GGGTCAGTCTTCGGGGTTAGGCTTAACGGGCAATGGGGATTTTGGTCAAACCGTGACATGTCAGTTCAGCCACCCACCAACTACTCCGCTACACCTCGTTCTGCAGGATTCTGCAGGCCCTCAACATCATAGAGCCGAAACCGACCTCCATCCTGATACCTGCAGCTCCTAACCCTGCAGGACGGTAGCTTCCTGTACTTGGATACCCGCCGCAAAAACTCCTTGGGTGATCTTGGGTGTTTTGCTTGCAGGAAGCTGCAACAGAGGAGCTCTGGTGGCAGGGCTCATCTGCATCAGAGAAGGTGGTCTCGTGCTTTGGCTTTTTGGCAAGCCTTTGTGTTTGTTGTGTCAGGGCTTTTCTCAACGATTCCTGTTGGCAGCATGCTCGCTGAACGCTAACTTCTGAAAATGCACTACTACGAGGATGCTGCGTGATCATGGTTACTGCGTGCTGGACAATTTCCTTCCGAAGAGCCACCTGCAGAGACTTGTGTTTGGGAATCTGTTTAGGGTTGGCTGCAAAGGGGTTCGGATTTGGGAGATCTAGCGTCAAAGTTTCGGGGTTTGGGGCTCGGGCTCCTGTGAGTCGTATTTAGGGTGGGTTGAGGCTGTATGATACTGGTGTGACAGCTTAGAGTTTCCATTCATTTCATCAGCAGAATTGGGCGGTGGGGCGCTGAGGAGTCTTGTCAAGTGTGAAAGGTCCAGCCCCGAGGATCTGGGGGTTTAAAAATTTCCCTAAGGGTCCATGTATTCATATAGTATATACATTGGCCTTAATGTAGTCCCTATATAGGTAAATTGGGCCTCATGTATCTCTATATGGGTACATGGACCCTTAGGGATAAGGAGCTTGAATTAAGAAGTAGCAATCCTATTCCTGACGACTGCTCTTTGTGGTTCTAGTTGTCTACTCTGATTCTTAGCGCCCCTGCAGATTGGGGTGCTCCTAGCTAGGCGTCCAGGTTAATGCCGGTACAAGCTGTCCATCGCAGCCGAAAAATGGTTCTGGCGGTGATCGCGTGATTCTAGGATTCCTGAACTCACGATCTGGCTAGTCCCCAAGCCTCCTTGCTAAAAAAAGGATTCCTGAATTCAAAACCTAGGATCCTGCTGAGTTTTGTAACTGTTTGTTTGGCGACTTCCGAATTTTCGGGAGAATTCTGGTATGTTTAACGCCGTGCGCCCTGAGTCTAAACGCAGTGCCCTAGACTCGGGTCCTGTGCCCCGAACCCCGAACCCAAGTCGAAACCCTTAAACCCGTAGCCCCCAACCTCCACTAAGCTCTTTAGCACTACAGACCCTTACAGCAAGCTTTTACTTCATGACTTACAGCCAAATCCATATTCCCTAAAACGCTAAGCTCCAGACATCTCCAGACCGTGCAAAATACACCTTCAAATTCCCCAAAGCAGTTGGCCACCACCCTAGATCCTAACCCGGCCCTAACACCCAAATCTTGGCTCGAAACGGAGCCGCAACATCCTTCTGAAAACTTAAGCCCTTCCCGCCCGAAACCCTTGAATCCCCCTTTAACGACCCCAACTCCTACGCCGTTGAGAGAGTGTCGTAAGGGATTCGTCACCTAGAGATACTAGTCGGATCCGTGGTACACTGACCCCTTGAGGATGGCACCTTTTGACTTTTGCCGTCGTCAGAAGGACCGCTCCCCATAGAAACACCGTGGCCAACCACTGTTGCATGAGGCGCTTTCTTGCGGCACTGGTAGGTGATAAACCCTGCTGCAAACCCCAAACCGAGCTGTGCAGCCCTAGCCAGCCAGAGCCCGAAAACCTGAATGACCAAAACCTTCAAATCTCACACACTGCAGCCCTGAAGCCCTATAAACCTTCAGTTCTCAAACACTGCAGCCCTTGTACCCTAAACCCTAAACCCTAAACCCAAACCCTAAACCCCCCTAAACCACCCTAAACCCTAAACCCTAAACCCCCCTAAACCCTAAACCCCCCTAAACCCCCCTAAACCCTAAACCCTAAACCCCCCTAAACCCTAAACCTAAGCCCGCAGCCATGAAGCCCTGAACCCGGTTTAAGCTGGCGAGGTCTTGCCAAATCCGTTGCAGATTCCGCCCAAGAGGCCCACGAACTCGAGCTCTCCATGAGATCGGGAAATACGGTTGATGATATAAACCCTGCATTACCTTGATGACCCCAAACTATAGGAATTATGGTATTTTCCTTACTATTATGGGAAATGCAGGATTTATATCATCAACAGTACGACTTCTTCAGTTAGCTTTGTCATAGTTGGGTAACGTTTCACTCTTTTTTGTGGGTAGTTAAACCCAATAAGGAGTAAGATTGTATATTTTCAACCCTATCCCAATCATGAACTAGTTAGGGGTTATACATGGTCATGCTGTGCTGTTTTTTGAAGGTTTAGGGTTCGGGGTCAGGGGGGTGAGAGCCCAGTGGTGAAGGGTCAGGGAGTAGATTTATTGAAGCTGTGTAACACTGGTGCACCCCAGTTCATGGAGTCATAGAGAGTCAGATGGGCTGCATACCCTATGAGCGTTGCATAAAGGCTAAAAGTGTCTGCATTAACCACATATTTATAAGCTACAATGGAAGTTTATGTACAATGGAGAGGTGTCTTTGATGTGTTCATGACAGATTTCTCAAACAGGCCTTAGGCTCTTTGATTTTCCCTGAAACCCCGAAACGAGCTCAAGCTGCGTGGCGATGGCCCTTCTTTCTTAAACCTCCGCCCTGCTGAACTGCGCAGGACAACAAATACTACCTGGGGATCCTAACTCCTACTGTTTTTGGGGTTAGACCTTTAAGTAATTAAGGAGATATAACCTATTATTCTGTAGGGTTTGGGGATACAGGTAATGACTCTGACCCCTACCTGGACCCTGAAGAACCTACATTTTTAGGGCTTCCTGTCGCTTGTATGAGTCCTTAGAAGGGGTAGGGTCTTCAGGTTCCAGGTAAGCCCTAAGCCAGGATTTCGTGGCATGGGGTGCTTTGTGAATCTCCATCTCAGCTTCGGAGCATGCTCGGGTTCGAGAGATTGGAGAGTTCTCTCTTGATCGCATAGTAGGGAATGGGGTTCCTTTAAAGGGGTCCTTTAAGGCAGGGTTCCTATAAGGGTTATAATATAAGGGTTTAGGGTTCTTAGTAGGCTGTCTGGTTCTTAGTAGGGAATGGGGGAATGGGTTGCGGGGACTAATAGTTGGGATTGTATAGGGACTACTATAGGGATCCATTCCTCCATTCCTTACTAAGGACCAGACAGCAAGCTCTGCATAGCTTGCCAAACACAGGGTATTGGGCTACAGTTCTTGCATGTCCAGGCAAAGAGGTTCGGCGTGGCTGTCAAAAGTTGGGATGCTATGCGCCTCCGGCTATTGGCTGGTGTAGGGTTGAGAGCATGTGGAGCGCGCGGGAGCTTAGTGTGGCAGGCGTACCAACGGAATGAGATGGGCTCAGGCGTGCTGAGTACTGGAGAAGCTCTGGCTTAAATTCAGCTAGCCTTTTGCCTCATATCTGCGAGTTTCCGAAAATTAGGGCTACCTGATTTTGGTGTCCTCATAATAAGGATCCTAAGGGTACTCCATTAGGGTTCCCTATTTGCGGAAACTCCCAGCTCGGTCTTGTAGGATCCTTGACATGCTACCAGCACATGAGAGTCAGAAAGCAGCTGGAACAAAAGGCTTCAGCCTATCCCTGGGCATCAGAATAGCCCAAAAGCCTTATATTGTATGGTTTTTGGGCCCAAAAGCCTTGATATATGAGTCCTTAGATTCCTAGGGTATTTTGCAAGCCGCAGAAGTGTTATAAGTTGGGCTTCAAGCATCCAACAGGAGCCCCTGTCTTGTCATGTGTACGAGCACTCGGCACTTTTATTTGACCCGCACAATTATTCCGGTCGACTGCTTCGTGATTGTTCCGGTGTCCGCTTAGAGTCAGCAAAAGCAGATGCAATCTTGCAATCTTCGGGTTTTCAGACAGTGAGTTGCCAGAGAGTGACGTCACAAGTGAGACATGCATCGATAGCCTCTGAACGGCGACATGCTTCACACGTGGTTCAGCATGGACCGCGCATTCCACCAAAATGTTTGCGCAGTCTTCAGTGCCGAACGTGTGCAAGCAATTCCTTCTATGCAAAATTCGGCTAGTGGAATTACTCCTGGTGTGTTGTGGTTTCCTTGCATCAGGGACATTATCAGGTCAGCCTCAGATCAGCCCAAATCCTAGAAACAAAAACCCCTAAAGCATAAACCTGGAACCCTGATAGGAGGCAGCAAACCCGAAGCCCTTTACCCTGAAATCCCAAAGCCCTCGACTTTGCGGCACTCCTCAAAGCATAAAGCCCTAGCTGCCAAGAGCCTAGGGCGGCTTCGCGCGCGGCGATGCAGTTTTGTGGGCTACTGGGCGATGTGAGAGTTCATTGCCAGTGGGCGCACCTTTTGATGGGTGTTCTCGGGATTTGTAAGGGTTTCAGGGTTGCTATAAGTAGTGGTGGGTCGAGATTGGGCGCTATTGCCAACTGCTGGACACGTCTGCAAAGGCTCCGGCCGTTCATGCCCTCATCATACTGGACAAACCAAGAGAAAGCCAGCCAGAAAGGCAGAGAGAGAGAGGAACAACAATGAACATCTGCAGACGAATCAAGTGCATGAAGAGAAAACAGCAGGGGCAAGGCTTGGGCGCATTTTTGTCCACCAAGAGCTTCGGAAACTAGAGCCCTTAATGTGACTAGCAAAAGTACCATGCATTCAACGACCCCACAAGAAGCTGTCCTCGGTTTTTGGAACCCCGTGCAGGTAATACATAGTCTAGTATAATGCAGTAAGGTACAGTATGGTATAGTACTGTACAGCTTAGTCAAGTATAGTGGTGCCTAATCGCTGGTTTCCGGGCTTCTCACAGAGATGTCCAATTGGGCTTTCCGCTACAGTCTCGGCTGAAGGACCTCGGCTGTGTTTTACATATCAACTTTTGGTTTCACAAAACCGCCGAATTTTGGAGCGAATGGCCCGGCGAATTTGGGCTTCTTTAGCCGCTGTGTCGGTCGGATGCTGCTTGGGCGACGCAGTGGAGGCAGACTGCCGCCTGCCAGCAAATCCAAGGGAGCCAGCCGTACTCTGGTCGTTTGTGGGCTTGGGTCGTGAAGGATTTGAGGGTCTATAAGGCTTATGTTTTGGAGCTTAGCGTCTTGAGGGACTAGGTTTTCTTGAGGTTAGTGTGTCTTTAACTGAATTGACAAGCTTCTGCAGGCTAGGTTTTTGTGAAACACTTGAACTGCCCCCATACGGCAGCCCTTTCCCATTCACTGCATTTAACTGCATGGTTGTTTCTTCTCCTGTAGACCAGGACCCCCCAAGCCAAATACCCTTTAATAGAGCCCTTATAGTCCTCAATAGTGGGTATTTAGGGTATAATGGCGGGTAGTTGTGCGGTGCTGGGAATGCCTACTTGGAGGATCATGGGACCTAGTACGTAAGGTTATAAGTACCTTATTCGGGGTTATAAGTAGTTATAAGTACAGCTACCCCAATTAGAACCCTAGTTGCTAAGCCCCATGAACCTTTAAGTATTGTTGATGATATGAATCCTGCACTACCTTAAGGACCCTAAGCTACGGTAATTATGGTATATTCCTTATTATGGGTAATACAGGATTTAGATCATCAACCTTATGACTGAGGTAAGGACGGAGACCGGCCGGGCCTCTCCATGCTGCAAGCAAAGGCGCATGCGCGCGAGAGCGGCGGGAAGAAGGCGCGCCCAGCGCCGATGTCGGTTTTGAGCCAAGCCTGTGTAAAACAGGGTTTATGCCCTGTGCTGTGATACCGGACATTCCATGCATTCATGCACTTGTTTTCACAGGTTGCAACAGATTAGTATCTACATAGAAGTACTTCGTTTGGCCATTGAAAAGTACATGCCACACTTGGTATACTTAGACCCTAAGGGGGCAACTCGGACATTACGAACATTTACGAACACAGCTTCAGCAGACACTGATTCGGCAATCAGATCGGATTCTGCACATTTTCCAAGGCTTGCCACCGAAAGCAAAACACAACAAACTCCAGCTGGTCGAGCTTTTCAGGCCTCTACTCGAGGCTCCATAGTAGTTTATTTTTTGGGGTTCATGTTTGGAATCCTATGGTCCTATAAGGTAATCAGAAAAAGGAACTACTATGGAGCCTGTGGGTATACTCCATCTCCACACTTTCCCTTCGAAGAGGCAGACGTATACCACTGGTCGTCGGGGCGTGGAAACTTCCCGTACTACGCGGTCTCCAACGCCTCAGCACCCTTCGACGTTGCGCACAAGCATGCGTGGAACTGGTCCCATCCTGATGGAAGGCCGGGTGTCAGAGTACTCAGCATGATTTCAGGTTTTTCCATTAAGGCTTTTCTGCTCGCATGCGCTTTCTGTTCTGGATACAGGTTTTAAGACCCGATGAAGAAGTAGGTTGCATCTTTCAAAGGTATTACAAGGAGATCCCAGCAAGGGGGTCGCATGGGGCTTGAAAGCGGCTAATTACCGTTTGATACCTCGCAGGGGCAATTTACCGCGGACTCTGCTACATGCGGATCATCTCAACCAGCATATTTCAACCCAAATGGCCCAATGCCCCTTAAGTCTGTTGTCTACTCCATAAGGATCCCCGTGTAAGGCATTGCAGGATTCTCGGATATTGGGGTCAGGATGTTTTGTTCTGGTTCCTTCCGAGGGTTTCTCCAAATGTTCCTTTCAAGCGCACTTGCTCTTGTCAGGTTGCTACTTTCGACTCCGGTGTAAAATCGGCCGGTGGTCGTTGGGGCAAAGCACAGCACTAGTGACCCCGAAACCCCAATCAGACCCTACATAAGCGGTTATGTTAGGTATTCGGTAGACATGTCTTGGGCCCTATAATAGGCTTCAAGGAGGGTTCTTCAGCGGCACGAAGGTTCGCGACGTTGACCTATGGAACGGCGCTGGACCACAAGAGCAACTCGCCTTGAGGACGAAATTAGCCCCGAAACTACGGGCGGTCCTGTACATACAACCCTCTGAAAGAATTCGAAGTCTTTGGGGGATAATGTGGGGATTAAACGTGGGACTTGGGTTCGGGTACCTTCAAATCCTGTTCATAAATCTGTCAAAATACGATGTACACAGACAGAGCCATCAGCACTTGTGATATATATATATATATATATATATAGGGGTTAGTTACCCTACGTATAAGTTATAGAACAATATTAAAAATTAACCAAAGCCCTGTGGAAGCAGTTGCAGTGTCTCCAAGTACCCTGCGCGATCGCTGTGTGGTTTTGGCTCCCGCTTTTGTCAGAGCTATCAGCCCCCTGTGCGAGCAGTCGTCCGATCATCCGTATAGGATTCAAGGTTTGTAAGGTCTAGTCTACATATAGCTGTAGCATATGATAAGGGCCTTCCAATTTGAATAGGGTCTTGAAGTACATTAAAGTATAACTATAGTCAGGAAGCCTTTAACTTGTGTGAGCCTTGCCTGCCTTGTGGAGAGCCGGAAGGATTCAACGGGGTACCTATTCAGGCTTCTATAGACGCCTACTTAAAGGATCATGGGACTTAGTAACTGGGGTTATTATTAGGGTAACTGTACTTAGAACTACTTATAACTCCAATTAAGGTGCCTATAACCTGAGTCACTAAGTCCCATGATCCTCCAAGTAAGCCCTAAGCCCCAAATCGCCACAGAACCGTGGTTTCATTCACGAGTGCTTCGGCTCTCCTGCGTGCCTTCGGGAAGAATGCCGGTCCGGTTCCGTCAAACCCGACCCCCGAGACTCCAAAGGCCCACCTTCTGAAATTCTGAGTAATTTTAAAGATTTCGACGACGAATGTATGAGAACACGGCCTGTTGAGCAAGTAGTAAGTAGTACCATGAACCCCTCACGAAGCCTCTCGGAAGGCAATGTTCCAATGACGCCAGGATCGGCTCTTGTGCAAAGAGCCCCCAACAAAAACGCAACACCTGATGCCCTACAACAGCTAAACAAAACGCCCCAACAATACCGTCGCCTAACCCTAATGGTCCAAGTACTTCATTATCATATACTCTCCAAAGTAGTAACCTACATAACTACTATCCTAAAACCGAGTACCTAATGATTGGGTCCTTTGGACCCTTGGGGTAACACCTCTCCAGGCAACGTCTACCTCTCCGGTGCGGACGGGGTGAGAAAGTTCGATCCGAATGGCAAGCAGCTCTGGATCCTCGATTCTGTGGTGCGGCGTAGGGTTTAGAGGTTTGGAAACCCTAAACCCTACCTTAACCCAAAAAAAGCTACCTTTCTTAAGTACGTTTATACAAGGAAATCATACTAAGGAACTCTAAAAAAGGCAGGTCTTTCAGGGTTATTAATGTAAACCCTACTTGGAGGATCATGGGACTTAGTAAGTCAGGTTATAGATACCTTAATTGGGCTTATAAGTAGTTATAAGTACAGTTACCCTAATTATAACCCTAGTTACTAAGTCCCAGGATCCTTTAAGTAAGAGGAGACCGAACTTCCTTTGTATCCAGAGCCCTAAGCAACGGCCCTTCTCCTGGAGTTTAAGATAGGCACCCAAAACAGGACGTTAGCCTAAAGCATTTGCGGGTTTCCGAAAATAGGGGACCCTAATATAGTACCCTAAATAGTAGGATCATCATATTAAGGACCCCCAAATAAGGTTCCCCCAATTTTCTGAAACTCCCATTTGAATGGGGATCTCCCTACCCCATGGGCTTCATCATAATGGGTTTTAGGTGGGATATCCCTATCCTTATTTTTGCTTATGTGCTTCTTTGGGGGGGGCCCTAAAAGAGCTCTTCGCAATCTCAGGGAGCACATCTCTTTACCCGCAGAGATGATGGATGCTCCCTCCCTCTACGACGGCAAGGTTTTTGGAAGCGACACCAAGGGGAATGTCGTCGCTCTGGACCGTTTGAGCTTGGGATCAATTGTCCAGGTTTCGGTTTAGGGTTTAGGGTTTTAGGGTGCATCTCGCCCAGAAAGGGGGGGGAACCGAGGCAACTCTGCACACCCTAAGCTCTAAACCCAAACCCGAAAGCTAAACCCTGAGCTCGAAACGGGAGTTCCGAAAATTACGTAGGGGTACCATATTTTGGGGTCCTTATAGTAAGGATCCTACCCCTTTAGGGTGCTAGATTAGGGTCCCCTATTTTGGGAAACCCCCAATGCCCCGGAGGACATGGAGAATGGCGAGGTGGTTTGGAAGACCCAGGTCGCTGAGGAGATTGGGCAGGACTCGCCTTGCACAGACGGAGTTGAGGCCTCCTTGGGTTTAGGGTATATATCAGTTAGAAGGGGCCACCACCCTGTGTGGGTTTAGGGTTTAGGGTAGGGTTTACATATCATTTAGAAGGGGCCACCACCCTGTAATAGTGACTATAAGGATGATATTAGGGCCTTATTATATTCCTATTATACCACTATTACAGGGTGGGGGGGGCCCCTTCTAAGGTATAATGTAGCACAGCGGAATTATAGAAGGTTGCAGTCTGCTATAACATGATATGCCGTTTTCAAAAGCGTTGTGCAAAAATGATCCGTTGAACATGGTTCCGCTTGAAAGCCACTTCCCGGAGGCCCTGATGACTCTTGTTGTGGTGTTATCTGAGGAACTACAGTATCATCTAGAGCCTGGAAAACCGCAGCAAGTAGACAGAAAAAGCACGCCTGACTGCTCTTCAACAGCTTGTAAGAGCAAGAAGAGAACACAATTCTTGTACAGCCCGCCAACAAACACTAAAACCCTGAACATTCTGAAGCCATTGCAAACTTTTGCTATTCTCTTAAAGCCAGCTCTCTTACTGGAACACCACGACAACGGCTTCACCATTGCAGCCTTAGGCCCTAAACCCCAAAAGGACAATGGGTTCACCATGGCAAACGATGGCGTGGTGGTCGCGGCGTGCGACTGGCATGAGCCTGGGCCACATGGCGCCGCGAACCACAAGGCCAGCACAGCGTTTCGGTTTTGTTGCGGGGGCCTTCATGGTCCTTTTTCAAGGGGAGTGTAACAGTTTGGGGCTTAAGGTTTCTTTAAGGGTTCTCGTAAGGGTTTCCGTTTCAAGGGTTTTGGGGTTTTGGGGTTGGAGTTTAGGGCTTCGGGTTTAGGGGTCTAGAGTTTGGGCAGAAGCTGTTTTTTGTCTGTGTTTTTGTTGGGTGTCGGTGTAGGAGCTTTCCAGGACTTCTAGATATCTTACAAGTTCCCTTGCTGGGCGTAATAGGAGCTGATGTACTACACTTTGCCAAAGGCTCCGAAGTGCCCTAATCCATAAACCCTAAGCCATAAAGCCTAAACCCTAAGCCATAGACCCTCAACCCTACCATCGAGGCTTAGAGGGCGAAGCTTTGAGTTTGGGATTTTGGGGTGCGGGCATACACCCTGAGCCCCAACCCTACAGCCTCATTGATATCATGCTAGAACACTCCGCCAAACCGGGCCCTATTCTAATCAACATTCTCATTCTTTTCCTCTTATGTTACTACTGCTTTTTATCTGGTATTACTAAATGAATATTGTTATTAATATCACTATCATCGCTATGTTTATCAGTATGCTTTTTCTGTTGTCATTACTAATGGCCCCCTGTATTAGCTGTTACCGTAAACCCTAATGACCCAATGTGCGCATTTTTGTCATTACTATACGTGCCCCCTATCTTATAGTACCCTCTAAACAGTACCCTTACCTAATAATCATGTACTCCCCCAAATGTAGAGCTACATAACTACTATCCTAAACCCAAGTACCTTATGACGTATTGGGACCTTTAATTAACTTAAAAGCCAGAAAGTTGGAATATGATTATCCTAACCCTTCTATGGTAAATTATAGGGTATCCTACCATGAAACCATATTCCAACTTTCTGGAGTTTCCTATAGGGTTATAGTCCCTTTGTAAAGGGGCTGCTCAGGAACCTACCCAGCGGCTCCATCGTTGTTCCTTTTTGGGGTTCATACACAGAATCCTATAAGGTAATCCCAAAAAGGAACTACTATGGAGCCTCCGGGTAGTAGCCTTTTCGGGATTTTTTCAGGTCCAGGCCTTGAACGCCAGCAACGGAAGCCCACTTTGGAGCTTCGAGCCGGACAGTCCAGCCGCTCGCTGCGCTTTTCTTTGGGGTTTACGGGCTTTTCGGTGTCAGGGATTATTGTTTTTAGGGTTTGGGGTTTAAGAGCTTTTGGGTTTTAGGGTTTAGGGTTAAGAGGGGTTACGGATTTGGGGTTTAAGGGTTGAGGTTTGGGGTTTAAGGGGTTTGGGGTTTAGGGTTTCGAGTGAGTCGGCCTTCAGTTCGTGTAAAAGGAACAGGTTTTTATAGTTTACGGGTTCTTATGATTTGGGGGTATCAAGGCTGCTGGCGGGACTTGAATAGGGTTGTGAGGTTCGTTAAGGTTTCGGGTCATAGCGGGCTTGTGTATAGGGTTGTGGAGCCCCTTAGTGTTTTTCACGTTTAGGGTCTGGGTCTTAAGGGTTCAAAGCCGCTTTCGAAATTGGGACCTACGGGACTTGGAACTTCTTCTGTATCAAAGGGGAAAAGGAGGGACCCTTAATGGGGGCCCCTACCCTATAATGGGGCTATATAATGAGTATATAATAGCTATATTGAGGGTATATACCTAGGGGTCCTTAGTAAGGGTCCCTCCTTTTACCCCTGGACTGCAGGTTTGGAACTTTCTACCGCTCTTCGTGGACAACGGCGACTTCATTTTTCAAGACCTCACGGGTAAGGCCTACCGGCTGGACTTGAAAACCGGAGCCGTGAACCTCGGGCTTCTCTGGAAAAGGTTCTTCAGGTGTTTTTTTTTTGAGATTCGGTGTTGTTGGGCTTAGAACTTTGATTTCCGGCAGCGGTTAGAGGGCTTCGGGGACAACCGTATGGTATGCTTCTCTCCAAAACCTTACCATCATGTAAAAGGGTCCAGACCCGATTAGATTTACACTGCCTACTGACAGCCGGCATTGCCGACTGCTGGCACCAAGAAAAGCAGCAGCCGAGTAAGCAAATGACAAGCAGCAGCGACAGCCATTCCCAAAGCACCTGCCGCAAGCTGGTATAGGCTAGGCAAGACGCCCAAGATCAAAGCCGAGGGAGTGTGTCAATAGTAAGACCCGCTCGTAAATCCCGCAGCTCGAAGCAACTGCTACTGTTCTACTTGCTAACTACACGTCCCGTTTTTCCGCACAAATGTGCTTGTAATAGCCATTCATCAACAAGAAGAGCAATGAGACGAAGAGTGGCATGTACATCTTTCGTGCCCAGAGACTCCAATATCCCTTAATTGAGGAACATTCCTTAAATCATGTTAGGGATCCTACCATAGTTTAAGGAATAATATTACTTGATTAAGGGGTATTGGAGCCTGTGGGTACCGAACTTGTAAGGCGCTGGAAGAATGGTGGAAAGGATGGGACCTGGACAGATGGCAGCGCAGCCGTCGGCAACGGGATGGTTTTCACAGTGCACAACAACGAATTACCAGGTCTGGGGCCGAACCCCAATACCACAAAGCCCTAAACGTAACTGTGGGTACCTTCTTTGCATTTGCGGGCCCTTCTAAGAAGGATCCGCCGCTTAGGGTAGACCCTAAACCCTAAACCCTAAACTTAACAGACTCCGAACCATATGCCTCGCCTGGATTGTTCGAGTGTGAGTGCCGAAACCCTAAACTCCTATCGCTTTAATAACCTAGAGCGCGAAAGCTCTGCAGCCTGAGATCTTGCAGGTTTCGATGGTCTCAGCGAGTTCAACCCGGGGACATTGAGCGCTTTTAACATCACTGACGGCACTCTGATTTGGAAGGTCGCTACAGCACCAGTAGTAGCAGGTTTCCTCTTTGTGTCTTGGGGTATCCGTTCTCGGCACCAGCAGGAGCAGGGGGGACTTCAATTGTATTCACTATATACGTTTATACATCATGCATATATATATATACACTTACACCTACACACCAATGAGTATATAAGATATGTGTATATATCTATATACACATACATTCATTTTTGGGTTTGCAGTCGCGCACATACACGTTTTTGGTTTGGGACTAGGCTCCCGTCTTGGGGAATGTGTAGTCCTTAGTTGAGTGTTTTGAGAGTTCCCAAACCCTGGACACATTTGTGGAAGCCTAGGTCGTGACACCACGACCGCCGAACAATGCACCGGCCATTGGGAAGGTGAAGAACTATCCTGGTCTGTCGGTTGTGATGCTTGGTCAAGGTTCTGGAGGAACTTCAGATAGTCCTCGTTCAAAAAAGGGTTAAGGGTTTGGGGTCTCGTATTAGCGCAAATAGTCTTTGTGACTCTCTCTCTTGAATTTGAGGGTTACTGTGATCCCTGCATACCGCCACAGCGTGACCATAGTTCCCCACGGAAGCTGGACAAGTAAGTGGTTCCAAACCCCCCAATACCATGTCATTAGGTTTCGTGCTTCTTGTGTCCAAGCACTACTATCAAAGTTGTTGGTAGAGTGCTTGGGTTCTCTATCATTGATCTGGTGCTATCAGTCACTTCAATTGTTTTTGGGGGTCGGCACAATCTAGTAACTAGTAGATCCGATCTCATGTCCTTGCAGTCTTGGGCAAGTAAGGATGCCCATCTGCCAGCAAGTGATGCAGTTCGCCACCTGCGATGTGCAACTTACTGAAACTTCAGGGGGAGTGGGAGAGCGGTCCCCTATAGCAGTCTAGTCTGTACGCAATCATTTCCCTAAACCCTGAACCCGAAACCCTAGACCCTACACCAGAGGTCTTCGTTCGGGCTTGCGTCGGCGGAACCTTCGTGCAGACGCCATAAAGAGCTCTTAAAAGGAAACCAAACCTAAAGCGTTCAAGTAACTACTAGTATATGGTATGTACTGTGGGGTACTAAGTCCTTCTATAACGGTATTTGGACCCTTTGGGAAAGGCAAGTCCACGATGCGGACACTGGCATCTTGCGATGGGTCTTCCATGGCCCCATGCAGCTAGGGCCAGCTCAAGCAGGTCGGGAGCTGGGCCTTAGGATTTGGGAGTTTCCGAAAATAGGGGACCCTAATACACTACCCTATCCTTATTATAAGGACCCCCAAAATTATAAGGACCCCCAAAATAAGGTACGCCTAGTTAGGGTTTAGTGATCTAGGGATTAGGGCTGAACTGAGTCCGTGTGAGAGAGAGAGAGAGAGGGCTGATAAATTCAGGGGTTAGGGTTCCGAGGGTTTACGGGTAAGGATGAAGTGCATTATGGAATTTATGCATGATGGGTTTAGTGGCTCAGGGTCCAGGTTTGAGGGTTCGCGGTTTTGGGGCTTAGAGCTTGGGGTTGTGTACAAGTCTGTGCAAACATCTAGGTATGGAGTAGCATACTTGAATACATTTTTGGGTACCTGTTCCTTACAGGAACCACGTCTATACTTTTTTCTCCCTGGTTACTTCGAAGTCCAGAATAATTACCTATACTATTTTGGGGCTTCCTCATTATGATCATAGTATAATGGGCCACAAAACCCGATTCTTGTTAAGTCCCCTATAATACCCCTCTTCAAAGTCCAGAAACTAGGACCCAGAGTAGGCCCTTATTCACTTTTTTTAGGGTTCAGGTTCCCTTATAACCCCCTTTTTATTCCTAGGTTACTCTTAGGTCCAGAAAAGGATTTCGGAAAGGTCGGAGCCGGCAAGCTTCAGATCGGCATCTGGACGCCCAAATGAAGCAACGCAGAAGTTTAATTCCCTCGTCGCCCCTCTAAATATTCATACATACATACATACGTACACACATATGTATATGTATGTATAAATATATATATATATATATATATATATATATATATATATATAATATAATATAATATAATATAATATATATAATATAATATAATATATATATATAATAAATATATATATATATAATAGATATTATATATTGGTATACATACATACATATATATATATATATATATATATGTATGTGGTGACGCGCTCCGCGGCCACCCCCCCCCCCCCCCAGGATGCCCCCCCGAGCTAGGGTGGTTGTGGGGGTGTGGGGGTTTTGGGTTGCGTAAGCTTTTGAGTCTTTTGAGTTTTGGGTTTAGGCTTTAGGGTTAAAGGGTAGAAGGCTTCGAGCCGACAAGGGCTTAAGGAAGGTTTGGAGTGTAGGTTCGTTAGGGTTGACTGTTTATGTTCTGCTTCAGGCTTAGAGCCTGCATTTAGGCGGGATTTAGGATTATGGGAACGCCAAAACTCCTGTTCTAATCATGAAGGACTCCCTGGACGAAGCCCTACAAGAAATCATAAGCAGCCTTACGTGAAACGCCCAAACCCCTAAACCCTGAACACCTAAACCTTAAACCCTATAAACCCTAAACACCTAACCCCTAAACCTCAAACCCGAACCCCTGCGAGGAGATCTCGAGGGCATGGCAATCCGATCAGCCAAAGGCATCCGCGGCATGTGCCTACCGAATGGGTGCCTGGGCATTGGGGATTGGGTTCAGGGTCTAGGGTTCAGGGTTTAGGGATTAGGTTTAGGGATTAGGGTTTCGGATGTAGGGGATATGGGTCTATAAGTATCTTGTAGTAGTATAGGGTCGCAAGATAGGGGTTCTATTCTTGTAGCTGGGCCTTCGGCATATTTCATATCTGACTTTATCCGCAGAGCCTTCTACCCTAAACCCGCTTAAACCCCTAAGCCCCAAGCTTTGCCCTGAACCCTAAGGGTCTCCGCTTGTACTTTGGTTTCCGGCTAACGGTAAGCCCCAGTATGACAGCATTCTTGATAGGTATACATTTTATCGGTGGATTCTACAGACCTCGCCTGGCATTGCCGAGTTTGAGCGTCTAAACGGCTTCGGATTGTTTCCTATCATGGTCTCCTTAGGAATTATGTTTTTAGACTTTTATTTTTGTTCACATAAAACCCAAGAGAATATTAAACATATTCGTTTTAATATGGTTGTAAGGGGAGTATAGTTTCATGTGCGAATATCTTCAGCGGCTTCTTTGGGCTATCTGAGGTGGAGTGCTCCCACCATCGACGCGCAAGGCACCGTCTTCGTTGGCAACGAGGAGCCGTGATGTGAGTGCGTGTGTCTACATCTGCAAGCATACCAGCAGGGTTTATAGTATATGACCTATATGCCCTCGAACACTGAAATCATTGGCAGATTGAGAAGCTATGGATTTCAATGCCCCTTTTTCTTTCGGCCACTCAAACGGTTCGAGCCGCAGGAGGGCATGCTTTTTTCTCTTCGTGACATGGATGGTGACGGTACCATCTTTGGCGACGAGGAAATTTCGGGTTATGACACCAAGGCCGGATCGGGGGGCGGAGGGCTTTACGCAGAGAGCCCAGTACTGCTTCTGAACCACTGCAGGTTGAAACAGATATTCCCCACCACCCCAAATCCAAGAGACCCTCGACCCCGAAGGCCGCGAACGATTGGAACGCGTATCAGGTATCTTTGTCTTTGCCTGCCTAGTCTGATTGTTCAGGGCCTTATGTTTTTGTTAGCTTCAGTGTTGCTCTGAGACAAAAACAGCACCCTAAACGAAAAAGCAAACCCGAAACCCTAACACCCGTAAAACCTAAACGCTCTAAGCCCTAAGCCACCTGTAGACCCTACTCAATCCCTAAACCCCCCACCCAAAACCCTAAACCCCCTAAACCCAAACGCCCCTAGACCCTACTCAAACCCTAAACACAAAACCCTAAACCCTACAGAAACCCCCTAGACCCTATCCTAAGCCCTAAACCCTGTGAGAGGCAAAATCCGCAAAGCCTAAACCCTAAAACCCTTGAAACTCTAATCCCTAAACCCCCCACCCGTCCTTGCCAAGTAGGAGGGAAAAAGCCCCAAACCCTAAGCCCTAAAAACCCCTGAACCCTAAACATAAACTCTACTCAAGACCTAAACCCCCTAAACCCAAACCCTGTGAATCCCCAAACTCCCTAAAGCCTAAACCCCCTCAGACCCCTCTCCTCTCCAGACCCCTAAACCCTTTTCAAAGGCAGCCAAACTCCAAACTGTAAACCTACTCCATCCCTAAACCCTAAACCCCCTAAACCCTAAACCCCCAGACCCTGTCCGTACTGAGGCCCCACCATAGGCTCCACCTGGTAAGGTATTCCTTCTGGTAATGCAGTCGGAAAAGGGCCCGCAAACAAAAAAAAAAACCTAGACCCTCCTCCTCAAACCCTAAACCCTTTCACAGTTACCCTAATTATAACCCTAGTTACTAAGTCCCATGATCCTTTAAGTAAACCCTTTCACAGGGAGCCTTTTCGGGCTCCTCCTCGCCGGCCATTGCTCCCGGGTTCCTCGCGGCAGCCTCCTGCGACTCCCTGTTTGTCTTCAAGGCTTCCGCGTGTTTTTGGGGGTTTAGGGGCTCCGTTAAGGGTATTATGGATTTAAGGGCTCCTTTACTTTTTCTTGGGGGGGGGTTTAGCTCCTTTAATTTATGGGCATTATAGGGTTTAGGGGTTTAAGGGTTTAGGGGCTTAGGGTTCGGCATGATCGACTCGAGTCCGTGTGAGAGAGAGAGAGGGGCTTAGGGTTTAGAAGTTTAGGGGTTCAGGGTTTAAAGGGCATTAATTATATGGTTTAGGGTTTAGGGGCTTTTTTGGCTCCCCTGCTTTTCGGTTTGGGTGTTTACAGTATAGGGCCTTTCAGTTGTTGCTTCCGTTTCTTTGAGTGTCACGTTCTTCGAATTTAAGGTTTGGGCTTTGTCTTTGTTGGTTGGGGTCTGCGGGTATCCTTAGGATTTTGGGCCTGGGGGCTTAGTTTTGTTGACTTGGTTCTTGAAGTTCAGGGTTCGGTGGTTCCAGAAAAGACAGCGGACGCGAGGCGCAGGTGTAGATGCCCTTCGTGTGTGCAAACGCCGTCAATGCAAAGATCCCTGAAATTAGGGTTTAGGGTATACAGTGTTCTTAAAACCCGCCTGTCAGTGTGACGCCAGTCTAGAATTGGGGCATTGGGGCGAGTTTGCTTGCTTTTCGTTTTCTGTGGTTTTAGGGCTGAGATTTATAGATGCCTTTTGTACCATGCTGATGTGCCTTCTTGCTTCCTCAGACATGCTTGGAAAGGAGTTTGCTGAACCAAGTTCCCTCAACTTTACTCAAAGAAGGACTCCGGTAAGGACCCGAATTTCAAAGAGCGGAAACCTTCAATCAACCGCGACAAACTTTGGCAGAGTATGCTCCAAAACCCTGTTCTAAACTTCTACTACTAAGTTATATGAGTCCAAGAGATTACACCTGACTGACTGACGCCTTGCAGCTTTCGAGCCTACCAGGAGTGATCCGGCAGCTGACTTGGTGGATGAGCTCTTGACTCCGGTTAGGTGGAGGGAGCCGGATCACAGATCTCAGGCTCTTTATGAGACGCCCAAGTCTTTCATGTGTGTCCCGTGTTTGGGACGCCCCACACCGTGAAATGTGCGATTTTTATTTGTCGCGACACTACGGTTGACGGCACCTAAATCCCAAGATCTCAAGCTGCACATGGCTGTGCCAGTCTCTCGCCGTAGCTTCAACTAGCCTGTCCAGAAGCGGCAGCCAACCCTCCTGGCGGCATGACATGTGGCAAAAAGGTTTGGTCTCTTCCGGGGGCTGGCTTGAAGTTTCACCAAACTCCAACACCGCGTAAAGCCGACACAAATCCAAACTCCTATTTTAACGAAAGACGGAAAGGCCTTTAAAGCCTGTAGATGCTACGGCAAGGCCAGAAAAGCAGAACAAGAACCGAATCAAACTCTGGACAAACCCCTAAACCCCTATAGCCCTAAACCCCTAAAGCTAAAGTGAAACAAGGCCTTCAAGCAAACAGAGAACCCTGAGGCCCACTGCACTAGAAGAGCCCTCTAAACCCTAATCGTTCAGACAAAAAAGCGCATAGACAAAAAACAAAAAGACACGCCAATCCCTACCCTAAGCCCCTTTGCGGAACGAATAAAGGCGCGCAAACGAAGGAAACTTATGAGCCGGGAAGCAACTCCAGTAAACAGGGCCGCACATTCGACCCGAAGCCCCTAAACCCTAAACCCTACGGTTGATGATATAAATCCTACATTACCCATAATAAGGAATATGCTAATATACCATAATTCCCATACCTTAGGGTCCTTAAAGTAATGCAGGATTTATATCATCAACCGTAGCTCTAAACCCTAAACCCTAGCTCTCGCCTTTCTGAGGTTAACACCCACGACCCGGCAGCGGGGGGCAGAAAGGACCTGGCTCCAAAGGCCGGGGGGAACCAATGCTGAATTATGGGGTAATACTTGGAGGGTCGGGGGACTTAGTAACTGGTTATTTTAGGGACTTATAAGTACCATAACCGTTAATAACCCCAATTAGGGTCCCCTTTAGGGTACTTATAAGTCTACTTACTACCTACTTACTAAATCCCGCGACCCTCCACGTCGGGTCCCTTTAAAGGGTTATATAGGGTTTAGGGTATAAGGGCCCATGGTACCCACATAAGTGTATACCTTCAAATGATAGTCGGATCCTAAGATGGGCTTAAAGTATATTCCTTTAAGGGATGTTGGAAGGTTTGGGAAATCCCCTTGCATCTCTTAAGACCCCTGTACTTGAAACACCCTTGCAAAAGCCTGGAGTATCAAGGCCTCCATCTTAACCTAGATCCTAGAACCATCCTTAGCTCCATCGCCATTGTGGACGCCTCTATCTTACCCGTCTTACCCTAAGCCCTACTCTGATCATACGCCCAAACATCCTAGACCCTGTTGGAATTATGGTCCTATCTTACCGTAAGCCCTATTCTAATCATTGAGGCCCCTACCTTAAACCTTCAGCGCAGGAGGGGCAGGTCTCGGCTGCTATCCCGGCATTGGGCCCGGCAACTCGGCCTACAAGGGGTTCACGGTTTTGGAGTTCGTAGGGGGGATGCTTTTGTGTTTTTGGGTTTTGTTTAGGGCTTTGAATCTTTCAAACAGTCTCCGGGTGTAGGCTGCAGCCTCTTTGGGGTGTTAGGGCTTAGAGCCTTTGACTTTCGTGCATGAGGGTCTTGGGTTTGGATGCTTTTGGCCTTAGATTTTGGATTATGTAGAAATTTGCGTAAAGGGTTTTGGCCGGTAGGTTTAGCCTCCTCGGTATGTCATAGTAATAGTAGAGTTATACGAAGGGGTCCTGAGGGATAAAGATCTTCGAAGCTTTTCGGCCATAGCCTTGACAGCTGTTACAAGCCCAAAGGGTCCAAGTACTAGTATAGTATATACTTTGGGGCCTAAATACCTACTAAGTACCTACTATACTGGTACTTGGACCCTTTGGGAAGGATGTTCGAAAAGTCGCTCTGCAAGGTACCTGGTGGAGGTTCTCGTTTGTGCATAGTGTGTGGGCCGCGAAACTGAAGGCAGAGGTACACGCCTGGCATATGTCGGCGCGGTCTGCTGCTTGAGGGGCGGTTCGCTGTTCCCAGAGATCCCAATACCCCTTAATTAAGGAATATACCTTAATTTATAGAGACCTTAATATTATGAGTTAAGGCATATTGCGTAATCAAGGGGTATTGGGTTCTCTGGGTTTGAGGGGCCTGAAGGGCTGAACCTCATGCGTTGCCTGGCGCTGCTAGACCCTCTGGATGCAACAGCGGCAGAAAGAGAGCGAGAGAAGGTACTGGAGTACATCGACACCTTGGTCGGTGACATCTTGTCGCCACAGCAGCTTGCCGAAGAGTTGGCATGTTTCTTCGAGGCTCCATTGTAGTCGCTGTTGTGCATCAGTGTGGCTTGAGATGTCGGGCTGTTGTACATTGAAGGACGGCAGACTGCCATAACATCTTTTGGCGCAATATCTTGCAAGAGGTTGAAACAAGATTTACGGGTTCAGATACTTACTCAAAGTTGAGTTTGGTCGGGATTCGAGCTGGAATGTGAGTAAAAGGGCCGGGTTTGAGAGTCCAGGCCCCCCAAAAACATGTAGTTCAGGGTATCACGCAGAGTTTAGCCTTTAGGCTTCTGGGTGTGGGGTAGACGAATCAACCATCAGCACTGCACCGCAAGCATGATCAGAGCAGAAGCTGCGAGCCCTTTGATTCCCAAGGTTTCCTGAGCGCATGCAGTGTCTTCGAACACGCCGCCGGGCAAGCAAAACCCAACGTCCCTGTCACAAGAACATAACGGGTTGCACGACCGCAATCTCTGAGGAGCTGATACACAGCTAATTCAACGAGCTTCTCCTTAAAGACTGAAATTACACGTACCTGAAGTCTAGAGGAACCATGAGGTAATGCTTGGGCAGGCTTTCAGAAGGTCTCGAGGTTCCAGTGGCTCTTCAGAGCTTAGGCCTCTTATCGTCAGGACACCCCGATTTTATCTATGACTGCGAGATGCCAGACGATAAACGCCCGAACCCCCGCATCCTGAACTCGACCTTCATTTCTTCGGGAGGAATGAGAACAGAAAACAAACAAGGAACATGCCCCCAGTGGGCCGCTGAGGTTGGGGCTTCGGAGGGTTTTCATGTAACATGCGAGGCTCTTGGGGCCGGTCCGGTGCTGTAGTCCCTACGATCATTGTTGTATGTTTGCACTGTACATGGTTTCCTATACAATCCCCAGGGCCTCTCTACTTGCTTCATACTCCCGCGGCTCGAGGTAAAACCAAATTGAACTTGTGAACTTCAAGCTCGACCCCGTCCTGGGATCAAGGAAGCCATGCTATGTTCACATGCTACCCGGCAACTGATGCAGAGCTGGCCGATGCAGATGGGAAGGCCACGAAGAAGGGAACAAGATGCAGGCATATAGAGCTGAAGTTTGGGGCTCTTGCTGTGAGCAGTTTGGTTGATAGCGTTAAGTTGATACCCGGTGTGTTTCATCTCACCACCACAAACACCTCGTGAAAGACGTCATGCTTTGTGGGGAGCGGCCTGCAGGCGGTTTTTGGATTGAGGACTCTGTCGTCTATGAAGTCTCTAGGGTTTGAGGTTGAGGCTTAGGGTTTAAAATGGGTTCCCCCGAAACCCTAAACCCCTAAACACTAAACCCCTAAACCCTTTCGGGTCTGCCACCGGAACACAGGGAGCCGACGAAGGCAAGGGTCTTCCGCCCTGGCACGTCGAGGGCTGACACCGACACAAACGAGATGTCTAAGCCCTACACTTAGATCCCCAATACCCAAACTTTATAAACTCTTTGGGCTCTTTATGGTTTAGTAGGAATCGGAAAGTTTAACATTTTATGTCTGTCGCTTATTGGGGGAGTAAGTACAAGGTGTATCCAAAAGCCTTCTGAGCGCTTCAATTCTGCGTCCCAAAGGGTTTTAGCTTGCAAAAGCTGTAAGCCGTGAGCCTCAGCCAACCGCATGCTGCCGCCAATCATTCACATTCGGAGGCGTCGTTCTTACAAACCCCGGCCTCCCGTCCCCAACAGCTAAGGGTTTAGGGTTTACCTGGACGTGCAGTTAAGGCAGGGCTAAAGGCAACATGGGAGTTTCCGACAATAGGGAACCCTAATGGAGTACCCTAAATAGTAGGATCCTTATTATAAGGACCCCAAGATAAGGTACCCCCAATTTTCGGAAACTCACACATATTTAGATAGTTCTTATCCGGTTTCATCCTCTAGAGCTTAAGCCGCAACCCCTCTCAAAACTCCTCAGAGAGCACAACAATGTCACCTGCATGAACCCCTCGTGGAACTCTGACGATAAAGCCTTCGTGCAAATCCTATGATTGAGTTGGCAGCAACTACATAGAACGCTGAGAAACCTATGAGATCCGTCTACACGGCCTACACTACTTATTCCATGTCCCTGTCTTCATCCCCCCATCTCCCTGAACCAAACACCCCTAATATCAAAGACCAAGAGGAATTAGCCCTTACAGCACCGCCCTTATGCTCACCCCAAACCCTAAACCCTAAAGCCATGCGAGAGGGAAAAAAACCCGAAACCCCGCAAGAAGCCCTAAACCCTAAGTTCCCTAAACCCTAAACCCCCAAAAACCCTGAACCTTAATCCCTAAGCCCTACACCCAAGAAGCCCTAAACCCTAAGTTCCCTAAACCCTAAACCCCAACAGCCCTAAACCTTAATCCCTATAAACCCTACACCCAAGAAGCCCTAAACCCGAAGCAATGACAGTTGTCCTTTCCGCACAAATTCCCCTCTTCCCTACACCCAAGAAGCCCTAAACTCAATGACAGTTGTGGCTCGGTCCGGTGGCTGACGACAGCAGCGGCAAAGGCTCCCGAGGTCGGCTCAGAGCTGCTCTGTTTTTGGCTTTTACATGGGGTTTCCGAAAAGTAGGGGCACCTTAGGGTTCCCTTAAAGGGTGAGTATAAGGGTACGAACAAGCCTAAACCCTGAAGCTATACGGGTGGTTGTCAAAATTAGGGTCCCTTTTTTGGGTACCCTAAATATTAGGTGCCGTACTATAATAGGGACCAAAAAAGGGACCATAATTTTGACAACCACCCGTTTGGGGGTTTCCGAAAAGTAGGGGCACCTAAGAGTGAGTATAAGGGTACTATAAGGGTTCCTATAACGGGCTCTATAAGGGTATTGGACCTTAATATAGCACACTAAATAGCAGGATCCTTATTATAAGGACCCGAAAATCACAAGGTACCCCTGATTTTTGGAAATTCCCTATTGGACCGCGGTCCTTTAGTGCTCTTAAAAATTTCGGTTTCTGTTAGTGTATGAAAACGTCAAGGGTTGTGCAAAACAGTCTCTGAGGGCGCTCAAGTATGGGTTCTATAAGAGCTTTGTTTGTCGGGTTTTTGCTCATTTACAAGTTTGGTTTCAAGGCTGCAAAGAGAAGAGGTTTAGAGTTCGGAGCGTGGCCATAGGGTTGGATGATCTACACAGAGCAAGAAGGGCACTAATAGATAATACACGCAAAGGCGTTGGTTGCTAAAGTGGCTGAAATACAAGGAAGCGATCAACAGACACAGAACAATTACGATGTAAATCGACAAACCAGGTATATGCGTATTATATTCGGTTGAATGCATTGAATGCTTTCCAAAACCTGTAGAATTTGAAAGATAATATTAAAAAGCAGAAGATCCATAGAATATTGTCAAACATATGCAGAATACTTCATAGAATTGAATTCTAATTTGGAGCATAATTCAATACTACTTTCCATGATATCAATCATGTCTAGACTGGTTTAATGACATTTCAGGTTTGCTTTGTTTAGGCATCCGTCGGAAAGCCCCAGTTCTAGCAGGCCCTCTAAACGCACCTGTCAAAGCTCTAAACTTCGTTACTTCACCTATAGACCTTCAACCCGATGCCTTTATGAAGCCCCAGAATAACCTAAATCCCTGAGCGAGGCTATCTTCGTCACCTGGACAACGTGAGGGCTCAAGGCGGACCAGCGGGTGGAGTATAAAGCTCATGGAGCTGTTCTTAAACTCTTCCAGGGTCGTATTAGGTCCGGCCACAGAATGTAGCCATAATGGGGTTCTATAGCAAGGAATATGGTTTCTTGTTTTATAGCATTAAGTTGAACTCCTTAACAAGATCCCCATCTTTTCTTGAGGCTTAGGGGCCTTTTAGCTCCTGTACCCCTCGCAGCCAAGACCCTGAACCCCGAGCTCGGAGCCCTACTCCATGTTAACTCGAAGCCCTATGAGGCTTAAAGTCGTAACCTCTCATTCATACTTATCTATCTATATATATATATATATATACACCACACATATTCAACACACACATATATATATATATATGTATATAAATATATATATATATATATATATATATATATATATATATACATATATATATATATATATTATATGTATATATGTATATGTGTGTATATATAACCGACAGCAGTGTGATGCATTGTGTGTGTGCGCGCTTGTGTGGATTTATAAACCATGGGCCCTGCACCCGAAGACCGAAACAAAGCTACAGCGAAGCCCCGACCTGCCCAGGTCATTGTGCGCGGATTCTAACCACCATCCTCTATTTGAGCCTCTGTCGAGGTTGGAGCGGTGGCTGTCTAACCATAAACCTAGACAGGGAGTCCTAGTAGTAGAGTAGGTAGCCTTTAACTTTTTGGGGTAGTATAGTCCCTATGTCATCCCTATATAGCCAAAAAGGTTGACCTTCAGTTCCCCATGATACCCGACAAGTAGGGAGGTCAACAACGAACACAGTGATATGTAGTCTTTTGTGCGGAATTGAATTGGCCGAGCTTTGGTGGCTCTTCTTTCAAGCTGAACGACTAAGCCCTAACCCCCGGGAGGATCCAAAAAGTAGATCCCTTAATGGGGGTTCCTATCAAGTACCCTTAGTAGTATAGGGCCCCAAATTAGGGGATCTACTTTCTACATCCTCCCGGGGGTCTGGGTAAGCCCGAACCCTACACCCTAAACTGGTGGAATCTTCAACCACAGCCCGAACGTCTGGGGGCTTCTTGTGTTCTAACTGTCAAGTGAGTCCTCGGACATGTCACACCGGAGCCCCAAAAGACAAAAAGCCGTATTTCCTGAACTCTAAAGCCCGAGACCCTAAACCCTAAACCCTAGAACCCTGAAGCCCTAAACCCTAAACCCCTAAACCCAAAATCCTGAAGCCCTAAACCCTAAACCCCTAAGCCCAAAACTCTGAAGCCCTAAACCCCTAAACCCAAAACCCTGAAGCCCTAAACTCTTTACAGAAATCAAAAGAGACCGAGCAAAGGAATGAGGACTGGGCCTCGGACCTTGGAGGGTCGATCCGTCTTTTCGAGGCCTCCCTCGGTCCGCACTCATCTTCGTAGCTGAGTAGCTAAGCTTTTGGGGGTTCATAGTTAGAATCCCTATACATATAAGGTCATCCCAAAAAAGGAACTACTATGGAGCCTATGGGCAGAGGCTTCGTAGCTGAGTAGCTAAGCTTTCTAGGGTTTAGGGTGCTATAAGGGGGTTCCCTTAAGGGATCTATGGGGGTTCTTTAAGGGCATTACTTAGTAGCTGAGTAGCTAACCTTTAGCTTTTTATAGTTTTAAAGGTTTATATAATCTTACCATAACTGAAAATGTTAACCTTTTTTGGGCCAGGACACTCAGCCCGTAAGTCATCAGTCAAAGGCTACTACTGTATGGGTTAATGTAGACCTGTGGCATACAACAGAGCTTGCCAGTCTTTGAGGTGGAGCTGCATGCCCGGTTACTTGGGGGCTGCATGACCTTGGTTAGTGTAGCGTTTGAGATTCTATGTTGTTTGTTCCCCTACCCCTGAAGCCTAAACCACCCTAAAGCCCTGAGCCCTGAGCCTGAACCCTGAAGCCCCAAGCCCTGAATGCCTAAAGCCCTAAAGCCACATACCCCTCAACTCCAGAAGCACTAAAGCCCGATGCCTAAACCCACGTAGCCCTACCTTAACCTACCAAAACCTACCTGTTTTTAGCGTCCCTATAAATTCCATATTAGGGCTTCTAATAAGAATCTACAAAAAGGTAGGGTTTGGTAGTTTAAGATAAGCCTGTTTGCTTGAGGTACAGCCTCCCTTGGACATCCGCGCAGAGGTGCTGCCGAAGGCCAACCGCCTCCTTTGCTCCTCGGTTCCACGAAGTTTATGGGGCTCCTGAGCGAATGAGGTTTGTTTTAGGGTTTGTGAGGTCTTCGAAGGGTTTAAAGGGTATTATATATTTAGGGCTTTCTCTTCCGCAAGCGCTGCAGGGGGGATGGATGCAATTGAGCTTTAAGGTGCAATGTTTGGGGAGCAGCCCTTACGAAGTTTTCAAGCTCCTATGACACTTCACAAATGCGTGTCACAAACAATGCTTGATCCAATCCTCTTTTGACCCAGGCTTCTGGTCGGATGAGGTTCCGCACGAAGTACTCCCACCACGCCGGGGCGCCTTTCAGGCATGATCTAAGGCCCGTCATGAGTTCGGCTTCAGCGCTTTAAAGATTTCGGGTATCGGGCCTTCAGGGTTCGGGGGTTCGGGCTTCAAAGGAACACTGTTGAGAACTTAAGTTGTGGGGATTTGGGCCCTCAAGCTTCTCAGAGAGGATGTATAAGGCCTTCCAGCCCCTGGACTTTAAGCTTCAGAGTCTACGGAAAGCAAAGCCCTACATATCCGAAAAAGCAGGCCGAACCCTGAGTCCTAAGTTTAAAGCAAGGTTCAGGCAAAGTCGAGGACCTGGATACCAGAGCCCTGGGAGGATCTAGAAAGTACATCCGATTACGAAACGCATGCTGCCAGAATGGTTGCTTTTTTGGTGCATTCGAGGAAGGCGCTACACGGACGTAAGTGGATGTACTGTCTAAATCCGTACAGGGTGTGGGACAGGGTGCACTATTGCCTGAATCCACCCACTGGCTTGGAACGGCAGTTCACAGCAGTTTAAGCAAACACGTCGGGCTTCCAGAGTGCCGGGCTGAGTGTCCCAGAATGGTTTTTGGCAAAGGTCATATAAATCAAGTTTCGGGTCTCGCAACTTCAAGAGAAAGGGGTGTAAGTTTCAAGCGAACCAGAGTTTGGATTGTTCCGATTCCCAACGCTGGCTCTGGCCATGTTTGTTGAGGCCAAATCCACTTCCGACCCGTGAAAGGAGCCGCAGGTGAACCCTCAAGCACTCAGCCTCATCCGGCACAAAGACTAAGATGCTTCGCTCCGAGCCACAACTCGTAACTGCTAAACACCAAGCCCCGAAAAACAAGTCCTGTAGATTCCGCCAAACTTGAGAGTTGTGTTACCCCCCGAAACCTCGTCTGACTTGTCGAGCACGAGTGACAAAAAGATTCCGCGGTTCAGCTGACCTGCTAAGATCGCTTCGCCTGCACCTTCTGGTACCTGGATCGCGAAGAAGATCCGTGCCTTGCATGCAGTTTTCGGAGGGCCTGAGGACCCCAGAAAGAAAAGAACATAATATTCATAAGCGGTACAAATTGTAGTCGTTTTAATAGTATATTGGGAAGAGTATCAATAGTTCTGTAGTGGTGGTAAGTTTCATAGCAATGACAGTAAGGATCGGATAGGACTTTTGCTTAAAGACCATTCTGCGGAGGTGCCTTGCGTCTACTAGGATTCTCAGCTGTACTGCTCAGCGGTATAGTGACTATTGAGATGCGCGCCATCGAACTCTTCAAGTTATATGCCTGTAGCAGTTCTGCCATCGAGTTCCCCAGAATCGTTTCGGCCAAGGTATCACTTGTAGGTAAACCCCACCGGACACTGCAGTCGTGTTCAGGGTCCGGACACAGGAAAAGAGCCCGGCGTGAGAGATGTGATTTTGTCAACATATGCAGACCACAACGAGGCGACACAACTTAGACCCTAAACTCTAGAAGGCCTGGGTTCTCAAGTCGTTTAATTCCCTGGACCGCTACACCGAACCCGAACCCTAGACTTCGGACCCTGAGTCCTCCCTTCATAAGAAACTGCAGGTGTCTATTTAGTCGAACTAAGATCGGCTTATCATGAGTAATGAGTATATAGTCTTATCTCCTTGCAGTGTCATAATCCCGATATAGTTGCACTACAATCTACCCGAAACTCCTGTTTCAATCGTTGAGGATCAATCAATAAACCCTAAACAATAAACTTGACCAGTTAAGGCTGTCAAGGTTTCGTTGGCGTTTGCAGGTCTTCCGTGGCCTTCGCCAAAGCCCCCGCCGCGAAGGCACAAGCATCCAGCTCCGGCCCTAGTTGGGTGGTGACTTCGGGGCTTAGGGCTTAGGGATCTGAATGCTTAACCAATCCTAATTCGTGAAGGCGAGAGGGTCAGCTTGGGGCTGATGGGCCTGAAAATTGCCAATCCCAGCTTAGGAAGCGAGGGTTACTCGAGGGTTTAGGTTGTACAGCGGGAACTTCAAGAGCTAAACCTGGCATCTGGTTCGGGTCCATACTGAGTTGGTAGGGCTTTGGGACATCTTATACTTGCTCTTATTGGGCTTAAGAGGATCTTACTTACTAATATCTTTCAAAGGCTTTAGAAGCACCTCCCAGCTGAGTTGGTTAATTAGTTACTTGGAGTACGAGTGTGTTCAATGCAGCCTCTTGGTCATTCGAGCTGTTATCAAACGTAGCACCGATATTTACCTAATGCCTTAGCTCCATACTTACAACACAAACCCTAAACCCTAAACCCTAAACCGTGACACAAACAGGAGATTCCGTATGGGGTTGTAACTCGTAGCTTTCAGCCCCGATCCTTGTCCCATTGACCCAGCCACTTGAAACCGAAGAACGAACACAGCCCTTCGAGATGCTACCCCCTAAACCCTAAACCCTAAACCCGGTCTGTATGGTTTAGGGATTGCAGGGTTTTAGGGTTTAAAAGGGTTTGGGATGAGCTGGAGCCCGGCGAAAGGTCAGCTGTCCTGGCGTGACGTTGCAAGCCAGTTGCTAAAAGGTGTCCCAAAGGGTCCAAGTACTAGTATAGTATATACTTTGGGGCTTAAATACCTACTAAGTACCTACTATAATGGTACTTGGACCCTTTGGGTGTTCTGCCTACGGCTTAAGAAGCAGATCACCTCGGAGCTGAGGTCGGGTTTGCAACTATTGCTGGTAGTCCCAGACAGGACGCACCGACGACAGACTCAAGAACCGTCCACAAGAGCCCTGCACACGCAGCAAGCCGCTGTCATAATCCCTAAACCGGAACCACCCGAGTGTGAGCACCGAAACCGGAACCACAATCCCCAAAGCCCACCCCCGACAACCCTACCAGCCGAAACCAACACCCGAAGCTCAACCCTAAACCCTAAACCCTATGCTCAACCTCAGGTGGCTCCGTCTTCCTGGACTAAAGCCGCTTAGCTCGGAGCCACCAGTTGCTTCGGCCGAGCAGAAAACAAAGAAGCGCCTTTATCTCGGATGTGGGCTTACCAATCCCAAAGGGTCCAAGGATCATTGTAGTATATGCGTATAGGGTAGTTTGGGGGTCTAAGTATACACCATAATGATACTTGGACCCTTTGGTAATGGTCGGCATTGTCATTGTAGTTCCTGTTTGTGGTTTCGCAAGTTTTTGTATCTAGGATCCTGTAAGGTAACCCAAAAAAGGAACTGCGATGGAGACGATAGGTAGTGTTAAGGATGTAGGAAGTACCCCCAAGTGACCCTTCTTCTAAACGGTAATATGGTTGGGTTCAGTGTTTCGGGGTTAGGGATATGGGGTGACCGACTTTGAGAGGAGCTTGAAAATTCAGAAAAGGATTTTCAATCCAGCTATTTGCTGCTTCCGCTATTACGATTACTCCTCCTACTATTACTACTATTACTACTACTACTACTACTACTACTACTACTACTACTACTACTACTACTACTACTACTACTACTACTGCTACTGCTACTGCTACTGATACTGCTACTGCTACTGCTACTGCTACTACTACTACTACTACTACTACTACTACTACTACAACTACTGCTACTGCTACCCCTACTCCTACTCCTACTCCTACTACTACTACTACTACTACTACTACTACTACTACTCCTACTCCTACTCCTACTCCTACTCCTACTCTTACTACTACTAGTACTATTGTTACTATTACTACTGCTACTGCTACTGTTAAACCCCGAGCACGCCAAGGCCTTGTGCAGAGCTCAGCCCAGCTCTGCAACCCTCGACTAGCTGCAAGAATGATACATTATAAGCTCCAGGCTTTAATCCCTAAACTTGCAAAAAAGCCACATAAACTCTAGACTGAAACCCTAAACTTAAGGAATTCGTTTTATACTCAGATCCTGCGCTCTTAGGCTCAGAGACCTTCAACTGGATAGCCCACGGGGCTCAAGCGCCTTGGGGCTGCTGACCTTACTCGTGCTCTTTTGCTTCCTGCGCGCCCAAAACGGCCCGTGGATTTTAGTCAGTGCTCAGGACGTGACCCCTAAGGACCTCATCTTAGGGGTCTGAATAAAGTGTTATAAAGTATTGTTCATCAGCGGCATTAGAGGTCCCTTTGGTACCAGGCCCTCAGGAAGATAGTTAATGCAGACGAGATTGAATGCAGCGTGGATTCCGGCGCCTGCGCCTGCAGAGCACAGCATGCTCCATGCCATCGTGGTGCTCACTTTCCCTTTCTTGAACCTCGGCTTCCCTCAAGAGTCGTTTGGGGTCTAGGATAGGTTCAGTTTCGACAGTTGGTCTTCTATCTCACCGTGGGCACGCGACAGGGGAAAGTATAAAGCCGGCAGGCCATTAGCAAGGCCAACAAAAGAAGGTAAGGCAGGTTTGCGTAAGTAGGCGAAAACCCTACTTTAAATTTAAATCTTTCCTCCTCCCCCACCTTACCTTTGTTTAGTAGGGAATGGAAGAATGGTAGTAATAGTAGTTTTGATTGTACCCCATTCCTCCATTCCCTACTAACCACAGGTAAGCCACAGCAGGCTTCGGGATGTTTAATTGCAGTGAAATAGTGAATGATCCTTTGTGATTGCGGGCAATTCAGGACAACCGCCGCAGCGCCTGCTGCAGCTGAAAGTGCGGCACAGACATCATCGATTCCTGGCCACGACATTAAGGTTTAGGGTTTAAGCTAGGGGCACTGTCACGAGCACAGTCCTAACTGGCGGAAGAGCGGCAAACTACCAGGCGTCCTTGCAAGCAAGCCTGCAGCAAAAAGGGCCGGGTTTAATAAAGTTGTCGAAACCAAGTGGCACAACATTCGGTTTCAGTTTCGCAGCCGGAACGTTGTGCGAGATAGCCAAAAGTTGACTGCTTCCACCCGAAGACTCTGAACACTATGCCCAACACTCTTCAGCCGGGTCGTGATCCCATACGCTTTATTTCTTCAGAAAGCCGAGCCGAGCATCCTATAACTACCAACCTCAAAGCGTCAATCTCTAGAATTGCTTCAGGTGACCCTGACAGCTTGGACTCGAAAAATCTCACCCGCACCCTACAAGAAGACCTTAGGCGATTAAGAAGGCAACCCTTTTCGTGCAGAGTTGCACCCCCAAACCCCTCAACGCAATACAACGCCTATATACACATGTTGAAGGCTGTAGATCCTTTGAAGTTGTGATCATGCAGAGACAGCTTTTGAAAGCCAAGTTTCTCCACTCCCTTCTGTGAGGTGCCTTCTGCAAGCGCAGCATAACAGAACTGCAAGGCGCTGGAGCACATCTGGGGCCATTTAGGGGTTTTTAGGGTTCAGGGTGGAGTCGCAGCAGGCCAGTTGCAAAAGATTCAGGGTTAGGGTCCAGGTCTCAACACTTGAAAGTTTTCGTGATGGATAAATTACCCCTCCTGGTCGCTATGCTGTAGTGGTCTGCCCCGAAGCGTAGTTGTTCAGGACAAGGGGGGGCGGTCTCCCGGAGTTTTGGGCAGGCCTTTTCAGGTTTACGGTGCAAGGGTTCTAGGGTATGCTGTCTTTGCTTCATTGTCACCGGGCTTTGCTGGTGGATCCCTGTTTTCTGTTTGTCACCATGGGTCAGAAGGGGCTTGCTTTACGTCTTCTGGCCCTCGGGCAACACCTCACTACAAGGATATCGTGATCCAAACCAGAACTTACCTTGTGGCTTTCTTATTTCTTCGGGGGACGCGAGTCTTCTTCACCGTCTCGGCAACCGGTAAGCTTGACACGAGGCCTGAAGCAAAAAGGCTGCAGTGCTCAGTGTGCTTTCGTGCATCTGGCGGCTGCAGGAACGAGACAGTGCTCGAGAATGATGCGCTCCCTCCAGAGTTCCCTGGTCTTGTCCTTGTGTTCATGGACTTCTAGGTTCAGAGCTTTGAGATTTCTTGGTCTATCCAGGCAGGTACCCTGTCGGATGAGCCCTTCAGACTGTGGGGTTCACTCAAGGCCCTACAGGCGCCTGAAGCTGCTGCGCAGGTGCACTTCAATTTCACATCGTCCCATCCAAAACATTGCCAAGGTTCAGCGAGAACCGAAGGGGTCAGCGGGCACTTGTGGCTCTCCGCAGCCAGGCGCCCACTCGATGCGGGGGAAGATGTCAGGTGACTACTAAGACTGACTCAGACTAGGCTTGAAATAGTCCTACTACCGCTGCTACGACGACAGCTACTGCTACAACTGGAGCTGCTGCTGCAGTTACTTAACCTGGATCGAAGCCCGCTCTGTCCTCTCCCTCTCCCGCGCTCGCTCGCTCGCTCGCTCTCTCGCTCTCTCTCTCTCTCTCTCTCTCTCTCTCTCTCTCTCTCTCTCTCTCTCTCTCTCTCTCTCTCTCTCTCTCTCTCTCTCTCTCTCTCCCTCCCTCAGAGTTTAGGTTGGATTGTCCCACGTTTAGGTTGGATTGTCCCAACAGGTATGGGTTAAGTGCCTTCCCCTCTCAGAGCTCAGGGTTCTACGATTGCAGGATCCGAAGCCATCGAAGCCAACAGATGCCCTGGGAACCCAGAACCCAAAACCATGTTCTGAACCCGCACCCTTTACTGCAATCCATGAACATTAGTGCCCATAGTAATTCCTTTTTGGGATTACCTTTCTGGGATTCTGAATATGAACCCAAGAAAGGAACTATATACCTTGAAGCCTCTAGGTACCCCATCATATTAGGTATTTAGTGCCCCAAAGTACATACTATATAGTCACTCGTAATTACTTAGTGCTCCTAAGTACAGACTATATAGTCACTTGTACGTAGTACCCCCAAAGTATATACTATATAGTTACTTGGGCCCTTTGGGTAAAACAAACGTTCCGCGAGGCGTGTCGAGCGTTCTACCAGCTTCCCGTGGCCTCGGGGGGCAGCCTGGCCTGGGACGAGTCCGCTCATCTGTTCAGGCCAGCATTTAGGTTTAGTGTAATTGGGCGTTAAGAATTAGAATAGGGTTTGGGGGTATATGATAGTATGTCTAGAATGACCCCCCAATATAGTATAGTTAGTATAGTAGGTAATTATATCAGTTTAGAGCCTCGTCGGGGGTTTAGGAACGACCCCAAGGCTTCTAGGGGGGGCGGGATTTCGGTTTTAAGGTTTTTAAATTTGAGTTTTTTCAAGGAGGTTTTGGTTGGGTTCGGTGGAGTTCCTGGTGATGTTTAAGACTTTGTGTTTGGTGATTTATGGTGTAGGGTTTCGGGTGTAGGACGTGGGGTCAAGGACTCAAAGGCTGCACCACGTGACCTGGAATCCAAGAGCCCCCGAAAACCGTGAAGCCTTGTTTCGGGCTTTTTTGGATTAGGGTTTGGGGGTTTAGGGTTTTAGGGTTTAGTGTTTGGGGGTTCAGGGTTTAGAGATGTCCTTGAACCCTTAAAACCCGGATCTCTTGCTTTGCCTTCTCCCCTCTTCAAGTACCTTTGATCAGGCTTCTTGTCTTTTGTCGCCTCTTTTCGGAGTTACACGGTATCCGTTTGTCGACATCTGCCTGCACAAGCACAAGTCACAAGTGCGTTTGCCGACGATATGTCGCAATGTTAACTTTCTCGTTGTGTTTGTCGTTCTTATGTTATCCCTCTGTCTCTGTCCCGTGCTGATTTCTCCCTAAGTTTCTCCCTCGCCCTCCGCATTTTCTGTCGGAAACCGGGAACATAGATCCTTGTGCATCCGGGGTGTGCAAACCAGCGGGCCTACGGTATGCATAGACGTTCAAGGTGGACTCCTTTGCTGGTCCTAAATACGGCTCGTGACATGCAACCATGCACGCCCTCGGACAAAAAACAAGAGTCCTGCTTGTGCCATGCAGGAGCGGTCACTGTTTACATGCAGCATGACATACCTTGGAATTTAAATCAAAGCTCTTCGACCCCTCAACCCCCCATACCCAAACAGCTTCTTGAAACAGGCACAAAGCCGAGATGCCAACGATCCTTGGGACTTGATTTGACTGGTTCTTAAG